ACTCGTGAGTTGATTTTCAATCTACCGGTAAATACTACATCATCTTTCGCTGCCCTTGCCTAAAGCAGATAAGCTCATGCGATAAACATGTGATCTGCATGTGATTAGTCAGAACTTTGAATTAACTAAAAAAAGGAAAAAAAAGTCTTTGCCCCGCGGTGCCCCTCCATAGAATACAGAGAGAACAGAGAGAATATATACATAATACTATATCTCAACATCTATTTAATTATATAAATAGAATCAATTGATAGTAATAGCTATATGAAGTCAGTGTAGGTATGTAGTGCAAATGAGAAATCCCCGAAACCAAAAAAATCATCAAGTCCGATTCCGGAGACCTTGGAGGCTTACTTAATTTCTATTAAGAGTCATCCCATATGAATCATATCTAAGCACCCCATCCTCCTCTTCCCTGATTCTTTCTCTTCAATCTGCTACAATCTGCTACACTTCAATCATGTCAATCGCAAGAGATATCCGTCCTCGTCAGGACGATTCCTTCCTCGCTACCTCCCCCAACGCCTCCTTCCACTCCCCATCCAGCCACAGCTCTGTCCTGAACCGTACAATTCCAGTCAATGCTAAGCCTCTGAAGCCATTCGCCACAGAAGATATCAAGGTCCTGCTCTTGGAGAATGTCAATCAAACCGGCCGTGATATCCTGTCCCAGCAAGGCTACCAGGTGGAATTCCTGAAGTCTTCACTCTCAGAGGATCAGCTCATTGAGAAGATTCGGTGAGTCGCAATCTAACTCTCTATCAGTGACTCACTTGACTCATGAATTCTGTCGCCTTTCAGGGATGTCCACGTCATTGGTATTCGCTCCAAGACAAAGCTCACCGCACGAGTCTTGAAGGAAGCAAAGAACCTTATCGTCATCGGTTGCTTCTGTATCGGTACCAACCAGGTCGACCTCCAATATGCCGCCGACCAGGGTATTGCTGTCTTCAACTCCCCTTTCAGCAACTCTCGCAGTGTTGCCGAGTTGGTCATTGGTGAGATGGTCATGCTTGCACGTCAATTGGGCGACCGCTCCAACGAGATGCATGCTGGTACCTGGAACAAAGTGAGCAACGGTTGCTGGGAGATTCGAGGAAAGACCATCGGTATGTGGCATTCTTACAACCATTCTGTTGTTGGGCTGTTTAGCTGACCTCTCAGGTATCATTGGATACGGTCACATTGGTGCCCAGCTGTCCGTATTGGCTGAGGCAATGGGCATGTCAGTCATCTACTACGATGTTCTCAACATAATGTCACTGGGTACTGCTCGCCAGGTGAAGACCTTGGATGATCTCTTGGCCGAGGCTGATTTCATTACCTGCCACGTCCCCGAGATTGCCGAGACCAAGGGCATGATTGGACAGCCGCAGTTCGAGAAGATGAAGAAGGGAAGCTACTTGATCAACGCCAGCCGAGGAACCGTTGTGGATATCCCCGCACTGATCGATGCCATGCGCAGCGGTAAGGTTGCTGGTGCCGCTCTGGATGTCTATCCCAATGAGCCCGCCGGAAACGGTGACTACTTTAACAGCGAGCTGAACCCATGGGGAGCTGACCTGCGCTCGCTCAAAAACCTTATCCTGACCCCTCATATCGGAGGAAGTACCGAAGAGGCGCAGAAGGCTATTGGTGTCGAGGTTGCCCAGGCTCTTGTCCGATATGCTAACGAGGGTTCGACCCTTGGTGCTGTCAACTTGCCCGAGGTTTTCCTCCGTTCCTTGACAATGGATGAGCCTGACCACGCTCGTGTAAGTTTTCTCGCGCAGTCAGTCGGGTTTGCAATGATACTGATTTGGCCTAGGTGATCTACATCCACAAGAACATTCCTGGAGTGTTGAGAAAAGGTAGAGTATATTTGATTCGAATGCTGTGATCTTTTTAACTAACAATGCCACAGTCAACGAGATTATTGGTGACCACAACGTCGACAAGCAGATGACTGACAGCAGAGGCGATGTAGGTTTATCCGTGTTTCTCATACAAAAACCCCCGCAGAAACTTACTATTAATAGGTTGCCTACCTGATGGCCGATATCAGCAATGTGGACGCTGCTACCATCAAGGATTTGTATACCAGACTCGAGAGCCTTCCTTGTAAGACTATATCCTTTCTCTTTCGCATGAACTTAAAGCTAACACCACTTCAGCTCGCATCGTGACCCGCGTGTTGTACTAAACAACCGATTCAAAAACAAGCTAGCCTCCGGGCTATAATGCTTTAATCAACTTAAGACTGATGAACCCTATAGGGGCTCAATCTCAATTGCATGGGACACTCTCAACGAGGCCCTGGGATACTACAAGGTTGCAATTGCCAACTCCTTAGTATACCGAGTTGGATACGACTGATGTAAAAGCGGTTTAGTGTATATTTTGTGATTACCACGCACCATCTACTAGAGAAAAAGCTATGACATGAATGTTTTCATTTTCATTTTCATTTCCATTTCCATTTTCATCTGCCATCTGACTGGCTCAGTAAAATACATTAAGTGAAAACTCGCTGGATATCATGACCCTAGCCTCGACTCCCATCTCTGAAGCCGGGACTGCGGCTCCTTCTTCGGGATGGAGGATCTCGGCGGTAATCACGTCGACCTGTCGAGCGCCAATCGGCGTTTGAATGCGAGCCATGCTCACCAGAGTCTCGAGAGCGATCGTTGCCGCGGTCGCCGCGCTCACCGCGGTCACTGCCACGGTCACGGTCACTGTTGCTGTAATTAGGAACGTAAGAGTCCAGGTTCCCTGGTCTGGGTCCTGGGCGCCCTTGTCCGGATTGATTTCGGCGATCGTCTCTCCCATCAGGTCTGTTGGACTGCGGTACTTCCCACGGCGGGCGGGTTGGTACGGGAGGACGCGGGGGTAATCCGATATCTCGTTGTGTAGGTGGGAAAGGCCCGCGGCGTTGCGGGTTTCCGTGGGGTGGGTGGTGTCCATGGTTTCCTGGCACATTTGGTCTGCCTCCACGAGGGGCGCCGGGGACGCGGCCATGTCGGGAGTCTGCTCCGCGGGAACCAGAGCTTGGCCAAGCACCGTTGCTTGAGTCGGAAACGGGTGGGGGAACTGGGGGCATTGGCACGCGCTGGCTGCGGAACTTCTTTCGGTCGAGTTCGTGGGAATCTGCGAATTGGGGGATTTCGCCGGGTCGTGCTGGGAGTGGGGGCGTGGTGAAGTATGGGTGCTTCAATGCATCCATGGCGTTGATGCGTTTCCGCCAGTCTAGTTTGAGGAATTCGCTTAATAGAGAAATAGCGGCCGGGTTTAGGCTGTTGCACGGTTAGATAGGGGCCTAAATCTTCCGAGAAAAAGTAACATACTCCTTGAAGACTCCGTGGAGGTTCCCACGTTTGTAGGCGAAGTTTTTCACACCCTCACAACCCGGGAGTTGACTCCATCCGGGCATGTTCTCCTCGGTGGGAGTGCCCACAAGATTGAATATCAGTTCTGCTTGGTTAAGATCGCTGTTTCCAGCAAGGATGGGCTTGCCCTTGAACATCTCGCCAAAGACACAGCTATAGGATATTAGTAAATGATAAGCCTGGCTAACAGGGATGGAAAGCTTACCCAACTCCCCACAAGTCGATAGCCGTAGTGTATTTCCGCAGCTGTAGCAACAACTCCGGAGGACGGTACCATCTCGTGACAACAAGTGCAGTGTATTCTCTTTTGGAATCTCCACCTCCTTTTCCAGGTAGTGGAGGGGCATCATCGTAGGGCCGAGCAAGACCAAAATCAGCGATTTGGAGAATTCCCCCATTGCTAATTAGCAGGTTCGCCGCTATTTATTCTGTTAGCTCGAAATCATGGTATACCAGCATTCAACACCCACCTTTCATATCACGATGTAGGATGCGGTTCTGTGAAATTGTTAGACAAATATTGCAAGGAAAGGTGTTTCAAGATGATCGTACTGCGTGCATGAACTTGAGCCCTTCGAGGAGTTGCATCAAGTAGCATTTGATCTGTGGTTCGGTGAATTGAACTGCCGGGTTTTCCAGGAGCCCGGACAGGTCATGTTCCATGTATGGAAATACCATGTACATGCTCGGCTTTTTCCGCCCTTCGCCTTTGCCTCGCTCGATTGACATCTCCTTGAGCTGCAAAATGTTTGGGTGGCAAAGTGCCTTCATGAGTTTGATCTCTCGGATGGCGGTAATAGGGAACTAGCCCAAATGTCAATATATAGCAAATAAAGAACAAAGGGCTTGTGAACTTACGCCTTCTTTCTCGTGATGCATGAGGATCTTTTTCAAGGCCACAATTTTGGTGTCCTTCTTAGACCTTGCTTTGTAGACCTCTCTATTAACCGGTCAGACGGTTTCTTGCAGTTATAACGCTGCCGAACTCACCCGAATGTTCCTTCTCCAAGCTTGTCAAGGAATTCATAATCACGGATGTGCGAACAACCAGGGAAACGGGCCTGGCCATTCTCGTACTTTTCCAGAGATTTAATCTCCATGCTGACTCGTCGCTTGAGCTGGTCGCCCACCCCGGTGGGGGAAGAAAGAGCTATCTGATGCTTGTGTCAAAATTATCGACCGTCGTCAAGCTCTGCGGTATGCTTTGGTTTGCTGTTGTGTTCAGGTACACGGAGGAGGGTTCGAGAAGTCTTCGGCGACAGATGATTGTGGGAAAGTGTCAAGATGAATCAGCGGGGACCTTGTCGGAGAGAACCACGCGCGTCGAGTGTGTTATAAGACAAGTCCATATCATAGTACAAAGCATGTGTGACGAGTTCGCATTGTTCAAAGCCCGCGCGTGGGGAGCTCGGCCACGCAGGAGGCTCAATATAAACCTGAGTAGGAACCAGCCCAGTCAAGGTATAGGTAAATAGGAGTCAGACGACTCTTCAATCACATATAAATATTGTTCTGCTGCTTGTCCTCGCGAACAATCCAAACACTGCGCTGCGGTGGAATTCGAGTGCCGTCACGGGTCACGTGCCACTAACCTCTCCGTTCCCCGTTGAACCACAGAACCCTCCGTCTTCAGATCCGATTCGAGATTGGCGTTCTGTGAACAAACAACAGCCATTTCCAGCACACAGTACGTCTTGCATGCACCTTTCTCTGTTCATGTGAATCTGTGGAAACTAATTTCTTTCCAATCTACACAGTCATGGCGGGCAACTCCTCCCACCCTATCCACATCCACCCGGTCCGACCGCTCTACCGCTTCACTGCGACTGCATTGGGCGCGAGCATGTGGTTCTTCGTAAGGATCGCCTCCTTTTGACATGGAGACCTCGTACTGACAGGACTTCTGCGCAGCTCATGTACCGGGCCAAGAAGGATGGTCCCGCTCTGTTGGGCTGGAAGCACCCTTGGGACCACTGATCCGAATACAATCGTCGATTTCATTTTTATTGCGCAACCGCTTTCGTCCCTCGGGGCAGCGGTGATAGTTGGGTCGCATTGCGTACTGTGTACTTGGACTGGGTAGAGAGGAACAGCGAGCCGGGTGTTACCGAGCGCATGTCAAAAGCCACAAGTTCACGATAGCTATTTACCAGCCGAATTGTATCATACCCTTTCTTTTCAATTTTCTGAAATGGTAAACTATGGCCTAAGTGATTGAGACGGAGCCTCATTAGATGGATGACTAGATCCAGACTATGACAATCTAAAGGTCTATAGTTATGTACAAGAATAGTCGGCCGCATTTGCGGCCTGTCATTGAAAAAGTCATGATCCAGTTGACCCGACGGTGGTCTTTCTTAGTTTTTCGAGAAGCTTTTTTGTATGGATATCCCCTCCCCTTCCTAGTTTTGTAGGTAGACGGCAGAAAAGGACGGAAAACGACTTCCCTATGTAAAACCTTTGGTTTGATAGCGTACAACGTGAATGCGTTGATAACGTACTTCATAGGCGCAGTCCCTCCAACAGCACTTTGTACATCTTGCGCTTCTTGCGGTAGTTTTGCTGCAAGCGGGCACGAGTATGCCCAAGTATCTGTGCCACGCGAGGGAATATGGTCTTCTCTGCTGTCCAGGACAGAATGAAGATCCCGAATGCTAGCGCAAGTAGCCAGGACTTGAAACCATCAGACATGAAAGTCAGTTGCATCACCTCCGACACCCAGTTAGATGGTCTAAAGAGCATATAGCCCGAGACCAAGATGTTGACGATGATCGTACATAAGTACGGCACTAAACGATCATAGTCAGTATCTAGATGAGCAAGAAGGGGAAGTTAGTGGTGTGCTTCTTACCATTCTGAGTCATTGGTTTCCGGAATGGCGGACCCGCACTCAGAACAATGCTGATGAAGATGTACTGGAAACAGGAAAACAAGAACAAAGAGGTATTCTCTGAATTGAGAATGTTGCTCTTTTCTTTGTCCAATTGTGGCGGCAAGAACCTGCATTGTTTGTTAGAATAATTTTGATGGGTATATTGTAACGGTTACTGACCATGGCTGCAATTGAACGGTCTGGAAAACTGCAAATTGCGACAGCACAACTAGCAAGATCTGCCCGAGCAAAGGTGTCAATACCTTACGGGAAACAAGATCAGCAGTTGGCCGTTTCCGAGACATCGTGGGAGCAGGATCAGCCCAGCCCACTAGAATGAAATTAGCTCGAGGACTCGGATTTTAGGAGAGAGACCACTCACTGAAGACCGCAATGGGCATAATGAGCAGAAGATCGATAAAGAGGAACTTGAGGCCATTAGCGATATATCAAAACTGTTGGTAATAAGCCCACTTACCTGGAAATCACCAAGATTTGACCCCGACGTGTACAGGAAGCTGACCGAGGAGAACTGAATGGCGGAATAAAGACTCATGAACTTGAAACAGGAAAAGCTTGTCACCAGCGCAGCTCGACCCTCCCTGATCACCGTCGGAACACAGGAGATTTCGAACACGCGACTAGTAAAGGGTGCGGCAACGGACGCCTCGGCATCCGACAATGAAATACCAACATCTGCGGCCTTCAGAGCGCCACAATCATTGGCACCATCGCCGCAAAAGCCACAGCAGTAATCAATAGACTGAAGTTTCTCAACTAGTTCGTGCTTCTCGTCCGGGGACATACGGGCAAACACTTTGCCGCATACAAGTACCTATACAGTACACATTAGTTCGACGCATGGTAAAAAATGGTAATGGTTAGTACAACGGCTGCTTACCTTGTTGAGTACATCTTCATTCCCGAAGTCAACCAACCATCTAAAGGCATCACCCGTGACAGCAACAGAGTATTCACGCTCGGTGAAAACGTTTCCTGGAATTGACATGTCGACCTCCGCGTCGTTGAGTGGCTGCAATTCCATTAGCTGCTAATAATTGGATATAGGGAAAAGATATCTTACCAAGAGTGTTCTTGGGTCCAACCGGAGGTCGGAGTTGTCCACGCATTCCCATATGAGAGAAGCTTTAGGTGCAAGACCAGGCGCTGGAGATCGTTAATACTGAGCTATGGCATGGATTCGGTAAACAAACCTTCAATAAAGTGCGGGATAAAGCATAGCTCATCACGTCCAAGCATGTTGCATTCACGAGCAACACTGATGGCAGTCAAGATGTTATCACCGGTGCACATTACATTGCGAATCCCCGCCTCGTTCAACTCGGAAATCACACCGGCAGTACTGGGCTTCAACTTATTCTCGAATATGATGAAGCCCAAGAATTCCAGGTCAGATTCGGCTTCCGTCCGAGACATTTTTTGGACTTTTCTCCAGCTCAATTTTGGTTCGTATTTGGAAGCACAGGCAATCACACGGTATCCTTTGTGAGTGTAGTAATTCAGGAGATCTTCATAATCCGAAGGAACTGCAAAAGAAGTATATCAGCAATACAAGCTTATATAGAGAGGGTAGAAAGCACTGACGAGTTCCAGGAATACATATGTCCATGATGCTTTCTGGGGCACCCTTGACAAAGAAACTTGCTCCGTTGTCGCCAAATTTCCTGACAACGACACTTGCGCGGCGAAGATTGGAGACAAATTCGAAACTCCGCAGAACTCCAAGCTCGAGTGGGTTCTGAATATTGTTAGCCATCAAGTTGTGGCTTGAATATAAATCAACTCACATTTACATCACCATTAGTCTGTCCTTGAGGAGGCTTTGCAACTGACGGCGCTATAGTGTCATATTTGGGGCTTGTCTGGTCGGAAACATGATCCCCTCCCTCCTCAAACGTCCAGTTGGTAAATTGAAACATCTTGACATCGAGAGGATCTCCCAACAGCTCATCGTCCACTACCCTGAGGGAATGACACGTAGCCATGGCGTACATGATCTTCCTTTGCTTTTTGATATCGTATTCAGAGTTAGCATCGGGGGAAGGACGAAGAAACCCGTCAGTCGTCTCAGAGAGCAAGTCTGAAAATCTAGAGATTCATCTTCAGCGCCGGCTTAAGGGTCATACTTAGGAACAGACAAACCTATTAGCACGGGTAACTATACGCATTCCTAGGACATCCAGTCCGTCTTCTGTGAGGGTTCCTGTTTTATCAAAACAAACAATGTCCAGCTTTCCTCCCACGTTGACCCTGTTCTCATGTATTAGCGTCGAAGTTAAGACATTATTCATCGGAGGTCACTCACTTCTGTGGGCTGATACAGAATATGTTCTGTTTCTTCAGTCGTGAAAGTGCAAAATTGGTTCCGATGGTAAGTGTGGCTGGGAGAGCTGGCGGTACAACAATCGTGATCAGATCGAGGGCTCGAATTATGATCAGATGCCAAGCGAGCTATATTTCGTTGCATCAGCGGCCAACATAACCTTAGGAAAATCGTCGTTCCGAGCATTAACTTACACCCAATCGAACAAAGTTAATGAATGAAGCAACGAATCCGATGAGAGCGACAATCCCCATCACGGCGATGTAGCGGAACGAGTCTCGGTAGAACTTGAATCCAGAGGGTTTCGGAAAAAGCATCGATCGAACTAAAGCCCCCTTGGTTGTCGAAAAGCCAGTTCTCATGACAATTGCCAATGCTACTGCTTCATCGTCATCAACATTCTGGGGTCGTCTAGCCCGAATTACTTTGGTTCCGCTGAAGAGGAAGTGTTTAGCAACATGGGGGTGGATAGAAGGGGTACTGAGATCGAGATATTGGATGGCGTCATCGGTGAGTGGTGTTTTAGACACGGGGACGGATTCACCTGGTCAAGTTAGATGTATGCATCAATACTGAGGGTTTTTACGAACCAGTGAGCATGCTCTCATTCACAATGCAGTCACCTGACAACAAGATACAGTCACACGGGACCTGGTGAAGCGATGGGTCGGAAAATTCATAAACATCACCAGGAACTAGTTCTTGGGAGGAAACGGACCGCCCTGTATATACGATCAGTTTACATTCAGTGAGATGATACATCGAACAAACTCACAGAATCCACTTCTTAGAACGCGAACATCACATTCGAAAAGAGATATCTCCCTGAGCCGACTCATAGTCTATAGTAGCGTTAGTTTCAGATAATGGTCCCATTCTTGGGCTGAACGCACTGATTTCGTCTCTAGCACAGTCGTTGCTATGCTGAAAAACGATATAAGAAAGATACAGACGGCGTAGTAGTAGTACTCATCCATGGACCACAGAACGAGACTTGCAATCTGGAAGATATAAAAAGGATGAAATGCCTATATACTGTCAGATATATTGATGGAACAACTAGAAGGAAAACTGACCTCGTCGACGAGAAGCTGAGGAATTGTCTTTGCATCAATTTCGATGTCGTTACTTCCGAATATCTGTTCCCTGCTGTCTCGTTCATCGGCATCCAATCCACTTCGCATGACCTTGGCATTAGTCCACGAAGGATCTTTCCAGCCGCTTATCAAGCAAAATTTATCCTCGATTGGATGATAGAAGAACTTCAGATATCGATAGTCGATGAAGTGCAGAGAGGTAATAGTCGGGTCATTATCTTCATCGTAGGTGTGATTCAGTGAGTCGGCGAAGACCGTGGAAAGCGGACGTCCATAAGGCTGGCTGCCAACTTTGTGGATGGTGAATTGGTTCCATTGGTCCTACCATGATACCATGGTCAGATGGTTAATGTATGGGATTGAAGTTCACAATCTTACCTCGATAGCCACCCATTGACATTTTCCTAATGGGGTTGCCTTCCCAACTAACTTTACCCGCCATCGTGGCAGCCATCGGAAGAGAAGCCAGGCAAATCCACCGGTCAAGATGCAAAGGGCAATATAGACAGCAAACCCTCCTGAACTCGTGGAGAACCCAGCAAAGACAGCCGTCAAATCTTCCGAGGCGAGATAGACTTTTTGATTCAACCGACTGCCGGATCGTCGGTCTCGGCCATATGAGCTGGCGGACAGGTAGCGAGAAAGAAGTGGATGTTCAACCGAGTCGCGGGAGGTAGACATCCGCTTAGACACAAAGGATCCC